CTTAATCTTTCAAAACCACAACAAACAGATAGTGAGGGAGGCACCATGAACAGAAAAAAGAAGGCATTACTTAAGAAGAAAAGACTGCTGGGAGCGGTGGCTCAAGCCTGTAATCCCAGCACTTTGGGAGGCCGAGGCGGGTGGATCATGAGGTCAAGAGATTGAGACCATCCTGGTCAACATGGTGAAACCCCGTCTCTACTAAAAATACAAAAAAAATTAGCTGGGCATGGTGGCACGTGCCTGTAATCCCAGCTACTCAGGGGGCTGAGGCAGGAGAACTGCTTGAACCTAGGAGGTGGAGGTTTTGGTGAGCCGAGATCGCGCCATTGTACTTCAGCCTGGGTAACAAGAGCAAAACTCCGTCTCAAAAAAAAAAAAAAAAAAAAAGAAGAAGAAGAAAAGATTGTAGGGAAGAAAGAAATTGAGTTGTGTTCAGACCTACTCTCCAAATAACTAGCATCCTGGATTTGCTAAACAACCCTGACACTTTTGTTTACTTAAAGTCTAGTGGCCATTGAGTCATAAGCTATTAAGCTCTTCCTCAATGAATGTTTAAGCTAACTGAGAAGAATAAAGAGTAAGATTCAGAAAAATAAATAAGTCGAAATATGAATTACACCTACTTTTTCAGCATTATATAACAAAAACAAATCTGACCATATACTATAGCCAAACAATTATATTTATTTGCTGAAGAATAACAACATTTTGATGGAAAGTATCTACATCTACAACCATATGGTTCACATTGATAGTCCAATTTACTCCAGGGTTATGAAGTTAATCATAAAAATTAATAAGATTTTCAGCATCTACTTACTTGTTATAATTTGAAAGCAATCCTTCAGAAAATGTTAAAAAAAAAAAAAGATTGTGCCACTAGGGGAAAGAATCAACAGGGTATAGAAAATATAGATACCCTGCTAAATCTGGAGAGGTCACTGACACCAATTAAGCCATGAGTATTCATTTGTTATTCCTTTTTGAAATGATGCTGAGTGGATGGAGTCAGGGAGTTTTCATGGATTATACAGTCTGTACTATTTTTAAAATTGCTCTTACATAGGACACATATCTTTTAAATGTGCCAAAATACTAGATCTGGTTTAAAAAGCAGCATGGCATAGTATTAATATAAATCAGGGTAACCAATGAAATCTAGAGAATCCACATATTTCCTAAGAGAAGATGGTGTTCTTGGACAGGTACCTTAAAGTTTAAGTGACTAAACTTCCACCTCTACATTTTTGAAGCTTTAATGCATCATATTAGTAGTGAATAGTTAGCAGTGTTTGAAGGCTGTAACTCTCACTTGCCACTATCTGGCCTCAAGCAAATCACTTATAATAAATCTCAGTTTCCTCATCTGTAAACAGAAGAGGGTGAATTGGGTCATTGCCAAGGCTGTTTCTAACTCAGAGTATATTTCTACACGACTCTTTTAGCCTACACTCAATCAGAGTTTACATTTGGAGTTTACATTTTTCAGTTGCAAGCTTTATTTCTCTTTACTGCTAAGAATCAATAAGAACACATTATTGGCGTCAAAGACACAATGAACAATAAACACAGATCGCACAGTTGTTAGCACAGAAAATCGGGTCAGAAAATTAAGTCAACTAGGTGAATGCCTTCGACAAATCCTCCTGATCACAAATCCAACAGTAGGAAGTCCAAAGATTCTAGGCCAGGCACAGTGGCTCACGCTATAATCCCAACACTTTGGGAGGCCGAGGTGGGCGGATCACTTGTAGTCAGAAGTTTGAGATCAGCCTGGCCAACATGGTAAACCCCCGTCTCTACTAAAAATACAAAAATTACCTGCCATGATGGCACACATCTGTAGTCGCAGATACTTAGGAGGTGGAAGCAAGAGAATCACTTGAACCCAGGAGGTGGAGGTTGCAGTGAGCCAAGATCATGCCACTGGACTCCAGCTTGGGCAATAATTAAACTCCAACTCAAAAAAAAAAAAACAAAAAACAAAACAAAACAAAACAAACCCACAATATACCCCACCCTCTACAAAGATTCAGGTTCTAGTATTCTGCCACTGTTGAAAATTCAAGGGTTTGGAGTCATAAACCACAGAGGTCAAATACAAGTTCCAATACTTACTAGCCTTGTAATCTTGTGACTTATTTTCTCTGACTCAGTTTCTGCCTCTGAAAAATGGGAGTACATCATCTTATGGGATCATTGTGAGAATTAAAAAGCATATTTAGCACCTATGACAGATCTACTGCATTGAAAGTATTCAATAAAATGGGATTTTTGCCTACTTTCCTCCCCATGTGATGGAAATAATACATTCCCTGGGTTCCTGTTGGTATATTAAGAAAATTCCAAGGCTGGACTTATGTATCATTAAAATTAGAAGGAACCAAGGGCTATCAATTTTACCTCTAAATCTTTCTCCAACCTTTCCATTTCTCCTAGTATAAGCTATCTATCTCATCCTACTACAATGACCTCCTTCAAACCAGCCCTCAAAATCTGTCTTTTCACCCTCTCCTCACTCCATTCTTCCACAGCAACAAGACACATGCTTAAAACTCTCTCATGTGCACTTTGAATAAAATCCAAACTTTATCACAGCCTTCAAGACCTGGTATGGGCTGATCTGCCCAAATCTGTATTTGCCACTTTCCCTCTTGCTCAATTCCCAGTACTTGGTCACTTATGTGCTGTTGTATTTGTGATCAGGAGGATTTGCTCACTCTGTACTGTCCTGCTTTCAGAATTTTAGTACTCTCCTTGCCTCTGGGCTTTCCCATGTGCCTCTGTCATTTTGCCTCAAGGCATTCTGTAGGTCTTCATAGAACTCATAATCACTGTCATTAAATAATGAGGTTCATAGTTGTTTTATGTCTGTCTCCTCTGCTAATATGTTAGCTCCATGAAGGCAGGATCACGTTCACCACTGTATCCCCAATATTTGGAACAGTGCCTGACACGGGGCAGGTATCTAACAACTTTCTATTGAAGAGTAAATGAAGAGACATTTTGCCCAAATGCTTCATTTTGTAGATTAGAAAGCTACAGTTAGGATACGCTACAGTTAGGACATAAGTGACTTGCCTAAGGCTGTGGCACCAAAAGTTTTTTTTTTTTCCCCAGGCCAATATTCTTTCCCTACACTCAGCTCTGAGGTCCCCCTCCTTTTTTATTCCAGTTAAGCTTTATTTTATTTATTAATTTTTCTCCATCCTCCCCCCCCCCATCACCTGTATCTGGCATTTCTCCCCATGTTATCCCTCCCCAACTCCCAACCCCTTGCTGTCCCTCCCTTATTCCCCCCTCAACAGACCCCAGTGTGTGATGCTCCCCCTCCCCGCCCCGTGTCCATGTGTTCTCGTTGTTCAACACTCGCCTATGAGTGAGAACATGCGGTGTTTGATTTTCTGTTCTTGTGTCAGTCTGCTGAGAATGATGGTTTCCAGATTCATCCATGTCCCTACAAAGGACACGAACTCATCGTTCTTTATGGCTACACAGTATTCCATGGTGTGTATGTGCCACATTTTCCCTGTCCAGTCTGTCATCGATGGGCATTTGTGTTGGTTCCAGGTCTTTACTATTGTAAACAGTGCCGCAATGAACATACGTGTGCATGTGTCTTTATAATAGAAAGATTTATACTCCTTTGGATATATACCCAGTAATGGGATTGCTGGGTCAAATGGGATTTCTGTTTCTAGGTCCTTGAGGTCCCTTCTACCTTTAACGTTATCTCTGAAAATATAATAAAGTGTGAAAATATCTTACAGATGGAAGACACTGCTTTTTCATTTTATACAATACATTTGGTTCTATTTTCTTTTCTTTTCTTTTTTTTTTTTTTTTTGAGATGGAGTTTCGCTCTTGTTACCCAGGCTGGAGTGCAATAGCGCGGTCTAGGCTCACCGCAACCTCCGCCTCCTGGGTTCAGGCAATTCTCCTGCCTCAGCCTCCTGAGTAGCTGGGATTACAGGCGTGAGCCACCATGCCCAGCTAATTTTTTGTATTTTTAGTAGAGGTGGGGGTTCACCATGTTGACCAGGATGGTCTCGATCTCTTGACCTCGTGATCCACCCGCCTCGGCCTCCCAAAGTGCTGGAATTACAGGCTTGAGCCACCGCGCCTGGCCTATTGGTTCTATTTTCTACTCCCCCACCGGGCACTTTTATTATTCTGTTTCTCTGCTTCCTCCTAAAGTTAAATGTAACATACATTTACTGAATAATCTAGCAGGTGAAGCAGGTAATTCCTGTAAACAAGGAATTATATCCAATAAGGTAAATGTAACGGCAGGATGAATAAAGTACAGAGAAAGTACAGTATAGGCAATACTTAATTGTTGTGCAGGGAGTAGAAAAAGAAGGAATCACAGAGATGATAACTTGAGATAGCTTTTGAAGGATGATAGGAGTTTGCCAGGTGAAGGAAACATGCCAGGCAAAGGAAACAGCACACCTACAGAGGCACTGCATCCGTTCAACACATACTGAGTGCCTACCAGCAACTCCAACCTGCTTTCTCTACGTGGGAAAATGCATGGGTCACTGAACACCACAAATAGTAGTTGGTATTGCCCCAGAGAAGCTGTTGCAAATGTAGTGGAAAGCAAGGGTCAGATCAGAGCACCTTGTATGCCATGCTCAAAGGCATGTACTTTGATCTATCGAGAATGAAAACCAAGGAAGGCTTTTGAGCAAAGAAGTGACAAACTCTGATTTACATCTGTTTTGAGTTCCCACTCAGTTCGGACCACGCCCCAGATTCAATAAGGAAGACAGAAAAAATGCCTCGAGAATCTGCATAGGCCAAACACAACATACCAAACACTGTCACACGCGATCATACTATAGATATTTACAACTTGCTGAGATAGCCGAGTAGTAGTCACTACCACACAGTTAAAAAGAAAGCTTGGAAATAGTCACGTGACCAATGGGCAGCGCCCAGGCCCGGCGCCCCAGGCCTCCGCACCCTCCGGCGCACACGCGCTCGCTCACCTCTGCAAATTCTCGATCTCAGCCGGGATGCTCTGCAGCTGGTTGCCGCCCAGGCTCAGGGTCTGAAGCGCGCGCAGCTCTAGGAGCGAAGCAGGCACCTCCTGGAAACAGTTGCCGCTGAGATTGAGCACCTGGAGGCTGCGGCAGAGCGGCGACTGGGCCAGGCCCTTGGGCAGCGCACTGGGCCCGCCGAGCCGGTTGTTCTTGGCCAGGAGCGTGCGCAAGCCGCGCAGGGCGAGCAGTTCCGGCCCGAGCACGGTCAACGCGTTGCCGCTCACGTCTAACAGCTGGAGGTGCGGGAAGCCGCTGCCCAGCGCCCGCGGCAGCGATACCAGATGGTTGTGAGGCAGCAGCAGCCGTAGCAGCGCCTCCCGCGCGCCGCGCCTCTCCTCGCCCCGCGCCTCCAGCTCAGACTCCAGCGTCTCGGGGGACACGCTGAGGCGGGACCAGTTCAGCTCGGCCTCCCCGGCCGTGACCACCGCCGCTCCGGCCTCCTCCATCCTGGCCACCGCAAGGCGCGTGGCGCTGGATTCTCCAGTGCGCCGCGCGCGCGCGCGCGGTCCACAGGCCGGGACCTCCGCGGCGCCCCGGAACCTGAACCGAGGGGCTGAGTCGGAAGTGGCGCGGGCGGGCGCGCGCTAACTCTGCGCCCTTCTGCCTAGTCACGCGACGCGAGGCCCTAAGGTGCGCGCGCCGCTCCGGAGATGGCTCCGCCTCACGAGGCGCACGGCGCAGAGGGTTGGAGCTGCGCAAAGCTGAGGCTGAGACCCAGACGCTGCCAAATTGTCATCTGAGCCTGGCCGGGTTTCGGCGGCCGCGTTTTATAGTCGCTGGAGCCTGGTGACCTGTTCCAGGGCTCCAAGACCGCCTCGGTAAACAGTCCAAGGACTGTTCGGTTATCTGGCCTTGAGGCTTCGCGCGTCACGTGCGCGGCCCAGTTGTTTTCACTTTAAAAGTGGGGCCCCTGCATCCAGGACTCTGAGCCCACAGGAATTTAGTAGTGATTTATCTCCGTGATAGAAAACCCCAGGAATTTAAAGTCCAAGGATTAACATAGCCGACTTCGAAGTGTGAAAGCAGCTGGACTAGACATCAGAACCCCCCGGATCTTTCATGGCCGCTGTTAAATAGCCTATGTCAGGGATTTGATTTCAGTTGCCTCATGCATAAAATATGGGTAATACCTGCGCTACTTGCCCCACAGGATTATCTTTTTCTTTTTTAAAGTGTAAATATATATCAAGGACGTTTTGCCCGTTTTAATTATAGAAGCACTTAGGTGGTTTTTGGTCTAAGTTGTGTCTCGGAGTGAATTTGGGAGTCATGGAGGCGGTTCCATGATTTGAGATAGCTCAAATTAATGGATTAGTTTAAAAATCAGCGTTGAGTTTGTACTGCAGGTCAAAACAACAGCTTGGGAAAATCCTAATCTGGTACTAATTTAGTAATTCTAATTAACATGTTTTTCATCCTTGTCCCAAACTCAATCTTTTCTGAAATTACATTTTATGACTTTGAAAAGTCGTATAATCGAAATGAGAAAAAATGCTTAGCTGGTTTTTTTTTCCACAAAGATTATGCATAAGAAAGTTACGTGGTTGTGTATAATCAATGACATTAAATTGCTTTCCTCCCTAAAAAAACGAGGAAAGTCTTTTTTCTTGCCAGTCGTTTGTATGAGAAACCATGCCTCTTACTCTGCTTTTAAACTTTAATTTCTGATTGAGTTGTAGTCATAGAAGGATGCACTTTGTATGTTTAACCCAATGATGGAATGTTTTTTAAAACTGGTGAGTCATCTGTTTTGAAACAGTCCTTTCAAGAACAGACTTTGGTATTTGGGTCAAACCAGCATTCTGACAGTAGTCCTAATATGTGAAAATTGCAAATATTTAAAATAATAGTTTATTTTGCTTTAAAATCTTTATCTGGGATTTTAAAAAATGATAGGAATGTAATATAAAATGGGAAAAAGAAATGATTCAAACATAATTCAGAAATAAGAGTTGGCCAGGTGCCATGGCTCAGTAATCCCAGTACTTTGGCCCAGGCAGCAGTTGACTGAGGTCAGGAATTCCAGACCAGCCTGGCCAACATGGGGAAAACCCCATCTCTACAAAAATTAGCCGGGCGTAGTGTCGCTTGCCTGTGGTCCCAACTCCTCCACAGGCTACTGGGAGGATTGCTTCAGCCTAAGAGGTAGAGGTTATGGAGGACCGTGACTGTGCCACTGCCCTGCACTTTTTATTTTTATATTTTTGCTCAAGAAAAATAAGAGGTAAGATTACAAGTCAGTGAAATTAAAGGGAAAAAAGTAACCTCAATAATAGCAAACGAGGCTTCCTAGTAGAAAGTTTGGAAAAAATACTTAGGATGGGAACTAAATGTAGAATAAAGGAAAGAAGTAGAAAAAAAGTGGTGTAGGTAAAGAAATGGGTAACCTGACAAATTTTGAAAACGTGCTTGCAAAGCTGTACTAAGAGCTATTTTAATTTCATAAAGTCTCCAACTACTTGGTTGTTACATTTAGGATAAATGTAACCAGACAATTGAGCAACTAAGATAACTGAGAAACTGCTTTCTAAAAGTTGAAAACTGTGTTTCTGGCTTTTTGAAGTTATCAGCAACGAAACTGTAAATTTCAGTGTAAAATGTGCATCTCATGTCCAAGTAGAATAGGTTCCTACTTATATAGAATGGCTATCTTTATTTATTTTTGGATTCTCCTTCACACCACCACCATCCCCATTGCCTAGCATGATTTCTTGCAAATAATTTGGATTGACAGAACTGAATATATCTCTTAGTGGACTTATTTTTTGAATAATTAGATTAAATTGTAAAGTCCTTGAAAAGAATTATCTTATTTATTATTATATACCCATCCCTTAACAGTACCTGGTCCATAGTAGTTTCGGATACTTTAAGTCTTTTGAAACACTGAATATATTTGTAAATATTATGTTTTAGTTGAAAAGGATCTTTTATTTATCAAACACCTACTTTTATCACAAACCTTAAAAAGTGTAATTCTACTTATCACCACATTTATAAAAGAATGTTTATCCTCATTTTAGGAAGGAGGGAACTCAAGCTGAAAAATGACAGTAAAGTCTGCTATCACACAGAGTGAAAGGCTAATTAGAAATTCAGCCTTAGGGCTATGTGACTACAAAGTCCATGTTCTTTCCATTACACCACACTGCTCTCTTGAGCTTAGTTTAGTGTTATTTTTAATTATTTAAAGCAATAAGATGTAAAGCAAATAGTGTCAGTATTACAAGTGGCATTTATTCATTGATGGTACTTTGTAATATTGTGATTGTTGGAATTATATGGCACCTGTCTTAAGGATTGGGGGTTTTGTGGGCTTCACACACAAAACTGGAGTAGAGCACTTAGATGAGAGGCAGCTGAACCAAACAAAATTTGGGGTGCCATCCTTGTATCGTATGACCCTGCTCCAGAAGCTCTGTTGATTAGAGCCATAGTGGACGGCTGACCAATGTAAGCCCATCAACAGACTGCCTGGTAGCCTATCTTATAAGGCACTGCCCAACCAGAAGCGGAGATGTTTTTTTTTTTTCCCTCACTCTTCCAGGAATTTAATCCAAAGAACCCAGAGGGAAATTGCAGTTGGTGGCAGACCAGAAAGAAATCACAGTTGGATCAGAAAGAGGCAGACATGGGGAGTGTTGCTATTTTTTGTCAATTGTGGAACATAAGTTTAAAAATTCATAAAATACTGCTTCTGAAATCTAGGACTGCCTTATATCCAGAGTAACACACCAGGTGCAGCTTCACTGAGGCCAACCTTGTTAACAGTTGGATTAATGTGAGCATCTCCTTACTGGTCATTATAATAACCCTTCTCTATCTTAGCTGACATGAATATATCTCTTTTCACTACAGCCAGATGGGTTTAAATTAAGCAGCATCCCCCAATTTACAGTGGGATTGGGCAGTGCCTTATAAGTGATGTGCCACCAGGCAGTCTTGTTGATGGGCTTACCTTGAAACCATCCAGTCAGCCTGCAGAATACTGAAAACCTTCTGGAAGGTGGGAAGAGCTATGGTGGCTTGTGGGCCCCCACAGTGATGGGGTTCATCTGTAGTTAGCTGAAAGAGATGCCTGAGAGGGAAGGGGCACTGGAGAGGGTAAAGGACAGAGGAGACAACAGAATACATTACCTAGGGAAAGGAACATGGGTTACAGGGAACTGGGAAAGTACATAGCCTGTTTGTCCACTTATGAGAACTTCACCATTATGTCATGCTTGGTCAAATTGAATACATTTCAGGATGAGTCTCTTGATTAGAATAGCTTTGAAAAAACAAAGGAGATCAAATGAATTGTCCTCCTCCTTCAGCTACCCTGTCTAGGCTTCCTGCAGGCAGGAACCTTATGTGTTTACCATGGTATCCCCCTGAGACATTGTAGGCAGTAAATAGTGAGTGAATGAAATAAATGCATGTTATAGCTTTTGACATACCTGACTTAGATAGGTCATGTTGACTTACTAACTGCAGAAAAAACAAGAAATTATCCAAATGAAGAATCCTTTTGTAAGCCATTCTAGTTAGGAAGCAGTATAGTGATACAGTTAAAAGAGTGGGCTTTGGTTTTTATCAAATATAGGTTTCCAAACCCACCTCTGGAAATCAGATTTCTTTTACTTAATCTTGATTTTGTTACTTAATTTCTGTAAGACTTGATTTCACCATCTGTATTATGAAGTATATTATCTGTTTCGTAGGGTCATTGGAAGGTATAACTCTAAAGTGCTTAGCAAAGTATTTAGCATGAAGTCAATATTCTGTAAGTAGTGGCAATTATTATTATTAGCTGTAATAGTAGTTATTGTTATAACTATTACTCTCTGCCACTTGTTAGATCATGATCAGGGTAGAAAAAATTGAGAAGAGTTTTTACTCATTTCACAATTTTTTACATAAATCATAGTCCTCTGCTCTGAGCTGTTCCATGTCTTAGGGATTAGGATTTGAGAGGTTGATCTGAACTTGCTTGCCCAAGATTTATGCTTACTGTATTTTTTGTCTTCAAGGTATATCAGAACCTCATGTCTTCTGAACTCACTCCTACCTCTATTCCAGTCACCTCTTGACTCAGACAATTCTTTCTAATGCACTGCTTTCATGACTTCAGTCCATCTCTTTTTCCTCCTGCCTTTACCCCATGTTTCCTCATTGCTTATAAGATGAAGGCCAGTTGCTTAGCCTAGCCTGCAAGATGTTGATTTATTTCCACTGCTAAATTCCTCTCAGTTTGGTTTATCCATATTGGCCTAGGATGGTTTAAAGTTCTGCCATTTTCCTGCAAATTGTAGTCCAAATCTCAAAAAAACCAGTTACTCTGTATTCAGGGCAGCATTGAAGGTAGAGGGAGCTGTAGTCTTTCAATCCATCCTCAGGAGGAACTGGCTTCTATATTTACAGGGCCAAGAGTAAGTCTTCAGCCAGTTTTGTTATATAAGGTCTAGCGGTTTGGTTTTCAGCAGTTCCTTCCTCTGCCACAGTTTGCTATTGCTGTAGAAGTGATAGATTAAAATGTCTCTCTAAATATGTCTCCAGTCTTCTTTATTGAAATTTAGGCCTTTTTATGTTGAAGATTCAAATAATGACATGACATATTTAAATATATTTGGAGTCTTTGACTAAGCATTTGTTAGAGCTATAAAAGCATCTTCATGGCTACTCCTATTGAATTCACTCTACTTAGGGGTTTATCTTAGACCTGGTGTGGTGTTTTCCT